ATAGCTATATCCATGTTTAATCTACTGTTAAATCTTTCTTTTTCACAAAAAGAATAATAATATTAATACTAATAATGACAGAAGAACACTTTTAACAAAGAGAAGAAAATATATCTTTCTTCTAAATATACTGTTTAAATTGATTAATTCTTTAAGACTTTAAAGAGGCGTGTGGCGCTCGTCGTTGAGTTATTACCGAAACCATTGCTTTCAGGAATCGCCAGGAAAACCTGGGATTAATTCCAATCTTGCAACGAAAATCCCCAATTTTCAACAGAGCACCAAACTAGACGTCGCGGATGGATCTTACAAAAACCAACAAGAAATAAATAATTCTTCACGATGAAGATTGTTTCGACTACTTGCCGGTACGAACCAGGCAATTTTATTAACGTTCACCTGACAAGAGGGACAGCGATCGCGTTCAAGAATAAAAAGAATAGAAAGAATGTGAAAAGAATGCGGAAAAGAACGCAGAAAAATGCGGAAGAAACATGGTGTTTTCGCAATGTAATTAATTAATTTATTTTACGAATATTTGGTTCCGATACAGAATTCGTAAATACATTAATCTCTAATTGAAAATAAATCATAAAATACGTAATAATTTACTCGTGATTTTGCCATATCGAAAGTGAGCGTTAAATTTCGTGAATAAAAAGCTAATATTTAACCGTTAGTTTAATCGAATCTTCACACTCTTATTCGATATTTTTTATATTTAATAACAAAGAATTACATATATCTGTAAAATTTGTAAAGTTTGAAATATATATATAATATATATAAAATTTCCCGATTTTATCAACGACTCTTTGATATAAAAACAGAATAATAACATAGGGAAGGAATTTGAGCATCTCGCCCCACTATAGTTCTATTCAAGTGTTGTTGTATGAATGATAACAAAGCCATGAACAATAGCGCGCCAATGTTTATGTCGCCAAGACCGAATACTATATTAGGTATTGCTAATTCGCTGCCGAAATATTTTACGTACTAAATATAGCACCGTGAACAAAATATATTTGATTCTATTTGTTGTTAAAGAAATAATTATTGTCCGTAAAGATCGCAACAAAACAATAATTTATAACTTAGATTTCTGTCACTTCGATTCTTACTTTGAGAAAGACTCTTGCATTTTACCGGTTTGAGAATAACTTTAATGGATTAATGAGATTTTTACGATTAAAATGACATCAAATACGATATAATCCAAATAATTTTTACTTAGATAAGGAACATAATTTTTTTATCTGATTTTTAAATTTGTATCTAATTAAAATTTATCCAAATAATGTCGCGTTTTTTTTGTCATTTCATTTGAAGAAATTTTATTAATCAAATAAAGTTGCATTCAAAAATATAAGAAATATAAAAATTTTATAAATGTTTTTATATATTCAATAAATGCACTCCATTAGACACTATTTTTACTCCGAAGCGTTTGGTGGACAAATAAGGGCAAAGAATCTTGTTCTTCAAGCGAAAATAGCGTTAGCGTATCTATCGTTATGTTTATTTTCAAAAGATTTGTATAGTATTAATTATCTTATCGTTTCAATTACTGTGCTTATACATAAATTATGCTTATATAAATTTATATATAATAGCTTTTAATGTGCATCAGTGCGCACTAGTGTATCCAATTAAATTTATAAATTAAAAAATTACTTAAATAATATAATTTTAATAATCTTACCAACAATCGAAAAATGGATTTGACTAGTTAATTCTATTTTCTAAAATGCATATAGATGGCGAGGCAATGCATTATCAGACGCAGTTTGTATCCGCTATGAGCCCTCCATAATGGTTGACCGAATAATTCATTGCTTTACATTTCTGTTAATGCTGTCAGTTCATCCAGTAAAAATATTTTTCGGTCTTCCACAATATTACGGAGTGATCGTTATACAAAGAATGTTTTAAATACTATTTGAAATTGTTATTTTTATTTAAAAGAATGCATGCGCCATAATATGTGTAACGAGTTTTAAATTATTTCATTCAAGTGCGGTATACGTATACGTATAGCTTTATTGACGTGTATAAAAAACATAAACGTAGTTCTGTCCTTCACATAGAAGACGGTTATTATAAACAGTGAAAATGAGCTCGGGCTTTATATCAGAGGCCGAACTTGCCGAACAACGACGAATGCGACAAGAGGAATGGGAACGTGTGCGAACTGCTGATCAGCCTTTAGGTTAAGTCAATGTTTCATTTATTTTTTATATGCAGCATATAATTATTTTACAATCGTATCTGTAAGATGTTGAAAGTTGTATATATGCTACTATAACAACTATTAAATAACTACTTTCAACCATCTCGAGCCTTAAAAATGTTTGGAAAGTATTTCATGTGTGTATAACGATTTACAGAACCCCCAGAGGAGGTTTATGACCCTAGATCGTTATACGAGAGATTACAAGAGCAGAAAAATAAAAGGGACTTGGAATATGAAGAAGCGCATAAATTAAGTAAGTAAAAAAATACCATTGAGTTTGTTACTGACAATGAGTATTCTATAATGCTCTCATAACATAGAGTTTAATTTATTGAGTTAATTCATCATATTCAGTATTGAAAATATATCAGTCTCTGTGTGTAATAACAGTTTTTTGTTTTTTATTATTTATATATTATTTGTAAAACAATTACTATTTGCTAATATGATCTATAATAGTATCTTGGTATAATTAAATATAATGGATAAGTTTTTTAATATTCTGAGATCTATTCTTCACAATATCATATCTAAAAAATCTGAATACATCTTTCCAGAAAATATGATCAAAGGATTAGACGATGATGAAGTAGAATTTTTGGATTTGGTAGATAGAACTAAAATGGAAGAGGAACGTAAAAAAAATCTTGAGGAAGAAAAAGAAATGCGTGATTTTAAAGCTGCAGTTGCTTCACTTCAAGAACAGAAATTAAATGAAAAATTAAAACAAGAATTGAAGAACCCACCAGTCAGTAGTAAAAATGTTGTTTGTGGAAGGTATCGCATCATTATTATCATATAAGTTTCAAGATAATCTCTATTTTTTTTAGAAGCTATAGCATTATGTACTTAATTTTAATAATTCTTGAATAATTTAATAATTCAATAACAATGAAGGAATAATCTATTTTAATTATGTTAGTAGCCGGTCTTCACAATTAAAGCTGCCTGCAGGTGTTGTGTTAAAACGATCTGACAAGCAAAAACAAGGTGAAAATTCTAGAACAAATTCTCTGAACATTATTCTCTATATAATATAATACACTATTTCCTATATAATGTATATAAATTATTCATACAGGGGAAGTACTTAAAGGTATTAAAAGAAAGTTGCCTTCATCCGATGATGCAGATACTATGAAAAAGAAAGAACTGCATGCATCTTGCGAGCCAGCAACGGATACATCTAATCTTGAGTCAGATAAACAAAATGATAAAAATATACTAAATCAAGTTAATAAAAGTAACGGATATAGTGGACTCAAATGTATCGGCATATTACCCGGTCTTGGAACATATGATAATTCTAGTGACAGTGATTGCAGTTCTGACACAGACCAGGAGACTGAACCAAATCCTTCCATATACGATATGTTAGGCCGAAAAATAAAACCCTGTAAAGATAAGGAAGAAAAAAGTTGAATATTAAGTACACACATACACACACGCATACATAAGTACATATAAATATATATATATATATTTATGTATGTATGTATGCATGAATCGCAGACTTTTATATATCTATTGTTTCATATGTCATCATATGAAACATAGCCGTATTAGCAATGTAGGTATAATATATAGAAGTCTGTGGCATGGAATATAATGTTTGAAGGTAATGTTTGTGAATATAGAAAAAAAAATTTATGTTGCAATTATTAATTGTGTTCGAAATACGTGAACATATTTCTACATTTAGCCAATATATACCCACATAGTATATTTGTATTATAAAAAACTTGTACACGAATAATATATAAGCTATCACATTATATCTAATAATTTCATAATCAGTTTGAGTATTTCACACAAGGCTTAATCCTAATGCTCATCTTAATTGACCATTTCATCACAATCCCAAATTTTTATGTATATACAATTCAATTGTAGCATGATAGAAGGATTTGTGTAAAATGGAACATTGGTGAGTCGTCAATGAAATAAATAATTATAAGTCAACTCGCACGTACTCTTTATACCTTTACTCGCCATTCCGATTATTTGTGATATTTTTCCCTAAAATACATCAAATTATATTTATATGCTAATTATCGCAGTTAGTTGGAACGTTTCGATATACATATTAAAAATCGCACCATATTGCTCTTTGATGGATCTTGATGCCGCAGTTAGTCACGATACATCTGTGAATCGCCCCGTATATCGCGTGTGATCGTGTTGTCTAAAAGTAAATCGCGCCCAAAAAATTGTCGCATACATTTCGCGTAATATATGTCGAAATTTTCGTTGTTAATAACATATTAATTATCGCGTACGATCATTATTATCGGTTTCTGTGCGTCTCGAATCGATCGAAATTTTCTACACGTATATTTTTTCCCAGAAATATTTTTCCAGAAAATCCAAATTATATCTAGATCGTCGAAAAGTCAAATTATATGGCACCGTGAACAAAATATATTTGATTCTATTTGTTGTTAAAGAAATAATTATTGTCCGTAAAGATCGCAACAAAACAATAATTTATAACTTAGATTTCTGTCACTTCGATTCTTACTTTGAGAAAGACTCTTGCATTTTACCGGTTTGAGAATAACTTTAATGGATTAATGAGATTTTTACGATTAAAATGACATCAAATACGATATAATCCAAATAATTTTTACTTAGATAAGGAACATAATTTTTTTATCTGATTTTTAAATTTGTATCTAATTAAAATTTATCCAAATAATGTCGCGTTTTTTTTGTCATTTCATTTGAAGAAATTTTATTAATCAAATAAAGTTGCATTCAAAAATATAAGAAATATAAAAATTTTATAAATGTTTTTATATATTCAATAAATGCACTCCATTAGACACTATTTTTACTCCGAAGCGTTTGGTGGACAAATAAGGGCAAAGAATCTTGTTCTTCAAGCGAAAATAGCGTTAGCGTATCTATCGTTATGTTTATTTTCAAAAGATTTGTATAGTATTAATTATCTTAGCGTTTCAATTACTGTGCTTATACATAAATTATGCTTATATAAATTTATATATAATAGCTTTTAATGTGCATCAGTGCGCACTAGTGTATCCAATTAAATTTATAAATTAAAAAATTACTTAAATAATATAATTTTAATAATCTTACCAACAATCGAAAAATGGATTTGACTAGTTAATTCTATTTTCTAAAATGCATATAGATGGCGAGGCAATGCATTATCAGACGCAGTTTGTATCCGCTATGAGCCCTCCATAATGGTTGACCGAATAATTCATTGCTTTACATTTCTGTTAATGCTGTCAGTTCATCCAGTAAAAATATTTTTCGGTCTTCCACAATATTACGGAGTGATCGTTATACAAAGAATGTTTTAAATACTATTTGAAATTGTTATTTTTATTTAAAAGAATGCATGCGCCATAATATGTGTAACGAGTTTTAAATTATTTCATTCAAGTGCGGTATACGTATACGTATAGCTTTATTGACGTGTATAAAAAACATAAACGTAGTTCTGTCCTTCACATAGAAGACGGTTATTATAAACAGTGAAAATGAGCTCGGGCTTTATATCAGAGGCCGAACTTGCCGAACAACGACGAATGCGACAAGAGGAATGGGAACGTGTGCGAACTGCTGATCAGCCTTTAGGTTAAGTCAATGTTTCATTTATTTTTTATATGCAGCATATAATTATTTTACAATCGTATCTGTAAGATGTTGAAAGTTGTATATATGCTACTATAACAACTATTAAATAACTACTTTCAACCATCTCGAGCCTTAAAAATGTTTGGAAAGTATTTCATGTGTGTATAACGATTTACAGAACCCCCAGAGGAGGTTTATGACCCTAGATCGTTATACGAGAGATTACAAGAGCAGAAAAATAAAAGGGACTTGGAATATGAAGAAGCGCATAAATTAAGTAAGTAAAAAAATACCATTGAGTTTGTTACTGACAATGAGTATTCTATAATGCTCTCATAACATAGAGTTTAATTTATTGAGTTAATTCATCATATTCAGTATTGAAAATATATCAGTCTCTGTGTGTAATAACAGTTTTTTGTTTTTTATTATTTATATATTATTTGTAAAACAATTACTATTTGCTAATATGATCTATAATAGTATCTTGGTATAATTAAATATAATGGATAAGTTTTTTAATATTCTGAGATCTATTCTTCACAATATCATATCTAAAAAATCTGAATACATCTTTCCAGAAAATATGATCAAAGGATTAGACGATGATGAAGTAGAATTTTTGGATTTGGTAGATAGAACTAAAATGGAAGAGGAACGTAAAAAAAATCTTGAGGAAGAAAAAGAAATGCGTGATTTTAAAGCTGCAGTTGCTTCACTTCAAGAACAGAAATTAAATGAAAAATTAAAACAAGAATTGAAGAACCCACCAGTCAGTAGTAAAAATGTTGTTTGTGGAAGGTATCGCATCATTATTATCATATAAGTTTCAAGATAATCTCTATTTTTTTTAGAAGCTATAGCATTATGTACTTAATTTTAATAATTCTTGAATAATTTAATAATTCAATAACAATGAAGGAATAATCTATTTTAATTATGTTAGTAGCCGGTCTTCACAATTAAAGCTGCCTGCAGGTGTTGTGTTAAAACGATCTGACAAGCAAAAACAAGGTGAAAATTCTAGAACAAATTCTCTGAACATTATTCTCTATATAATATAATACACTATTTCCTATATAATGTATATAAATTATTCATACAGGGGAAGTACTTAAAGGTATTAAAAGAAAGTTGCCTTCATCCGATGATGCAGATACTATGAAAAAGAAAGAACTGCATGCATCTTGCGAGCCAGCAACGGATACATCTAATCTTGAGTCAGATAAACAAAATGATAAAAATATACTAAATCAAGTTAATAAAAGTAACGGATATAGTGGACTCAAATGTATCGGCATATTACCCGGTCTTGGAACATATGATAATTCTAGTGACAGTGATTGCAGTTCTGACACAGACCAGGAGACTGAACCAAATCCTTCCATATACGATATGTTAGGCCGAAAAATAAAACCCTGTAAAGATAAGGAAGAAAAAAGTTGAATATTAAGTACACACATACACACACGCATACATAAGTACATATAAATATATATATATATATTTATGTATGTATGTATGCATGAATCGCAGACTTTTATATATCTATTGTTTCATATGTCATCATATGAAACATAGCCGTATTAGCAATGTAGGTATAATATATAGAAGTCTGTGGCATGGAATATAATGTTTGAAGGTAATGTTTGTGAATATAGAAAAAAAAATTTATGTTGCAATTATTAATTGTGTTCGAAATACGTGAACATATTTCTACATTTAGCCAATATATACCCACATAGTATATTTGTATTATAAAAAACTTGTACACGAATAATATATAAGCTATCACATTATATCTAATAATTTCATAATCAGTTTGAGTATTTCACACAAGGCTTAATCCTAATGCTCATCTTAATTGACCATTTCATCACAATCCCAAATTTTTATGTATATACAATTCAATTGTAGCATGATAGAAGGATTTGTGTAAAATGGAACATTGGTGAGTCGTCAATGAAATAAATAATTATAAGTCAACTCGCACGTACTCTTTATACCTTTACTCGCCATTCCGATTATTTGTGATATTTTTCCCTAAAATACATCAAATTATATTTATATGCTAATTATCGCAGTTAGTTGGAACGTTTCGATATACATATTAAAAATCGCACCATATTGCTCTTTGATGGATCTTGATGCCGCAGTTAGTCACGATACATCTGTGAATCGCCCCGTATATCGCGTGTGATCGTGTTGTCTAAAAGTAAATCGCGCCCAAAAAATTGTCGCATACATTTCGCGTAATATATGTCGAAATTTTCGTTGTTAATAACATATTAATTATCGCGTACGATCATTATTATCGGTTTCTGTGCGTCTCGAATCGATCGAAATTTTCTACACGTATATTTTTTCCCAGAAATATTTTTCCAGAAAATGCAACGAGAACGCGTGACCATTGCCAGATTTTTTTCTCTCTCTCTCTCTCTCTCTCTCTCTCTCTCTCTCAAATCCGTGATCAGCCACGTAACGTATCGCATTCAAATCGCTCAGCACATTTTTCGCGATTATGCGATTATGAAAGTGAATCTCGTGCGCGGAAAGTTATCGCGAGTGTTTCGCGTTATAATTCATCAACCGTTGCATAATAATTATCGGTATCGGCGATTATATTCATCGCGAATCGGTCGAAATTCTTTGCTCGTACGACATGTTACTTTCTCGCCAAGATGCATCGAAAATGCAACGAGCGCGTGATTATTGCCAGATAATTGCTTGTATCCGTATTCTATAATTAATTGTGTCAATAATTACACCATCTGCTATAGTTTTTCGGTTTCTGTGCGTCTCGAATCGATCGCAATTTTCTACACGTATATTTTTTCCCAGAAATATTTTTCCAGAAAGTGCAACGAGAACGCGTGACCATTGCCAGATTTTTGCATATCTGCTCTGTAATTAATATATCATCGTTTGTATATAATTATTTGCTCTCTCTCTCTCTCTCTCATCCTAATGCTCATCTTAATTGACCATTTCATCACAATCCCAAATTTTTATGTATATACAATTCAATTGTAGCATGATAGAAGGATTTGTGTAAAATGGAACATTGGTGAGTCGTCAATGAAATAAATAATTATAAGTCAACTCGCACGTGCTCTTTATACCTTTACTCGCCATTCCGATTATTTGTGATATTTTTCCCTAAAATACATCAAATTATATTTATATGCTAATTATCGCAGTTAGTTGGAACGTTTCGATATACATATTAAAAATCGCACCATATTGCTCTTTGATGGATCTTGATGCCGCAGTTAGTCACGATACATCTGTGAATCGCCCCGTATATCGCGTGTGATCGTGTTGTCTAAAAGTAAATCGCGCCCAAAAAATTG